GCAAGCAGAAGGCACTCACGCAGTTTGGCTTCGTCAAGAAGTCGAACGGGGTGCTGAAGACGGGGTTTCCCTTAAAGGTGAAGGCAGACGCTGCGATGTGACCATCGCCAGTGCCAATGTCAACACGCTTCTCCCTTGGCAAGAGAAGTGTGCGTACGCGAAGATTGCGACAGCTTGTATGTTGAGCAAAGTGCAGCTGTTGGAAGATCAGTTTGTCACCGTTGGTGCGGACGTGATCGGGATTCAGGAGGGCCGCGCCCCCGCATCCCTGAGCAAAGAGGGCCACTCATATACGATGATGAGTGCGGCTGCCAATGATGACGGCTCGTGTGGAGTCCAGATTTGGGTGCGCCATGGCCTTCTGGTCAAGACCTGGGAGGTGGTATCTCCCAGATTGATGTTTGCCATCGTCGCGAAGAGGGGAGTGGATTTCGGCGTTGTCTCCGGTCATGCCCCCCATCTTCTCGCGCCAGAGATTGAGCGCAATGACTGGTGGGACCTCTTTGGTTCCAAAGTGTCGCACTGGCGCCGTCGGTACGCTATCCCGTGGTACATATGTGCAGATACGAACGGTCGTGTTGGATCCGTGCTGTCTCCAATGATTGGTATATCTTCTCCTAGTGTTGAGAACGATAATGGAACCAAAGTCCGCCAGTTCGCCGAGCAGCAACAGATGATGATCGCTAACACGTGGGGGCCTGAGGCTGGGCACACGTGGACTTCATCATATGGCACCCAGGCTCGCATAGATTTCATTTTCGTTCCAGTGGAGCAGTTTGGAGATGTTGAGTTTTGCCGTCCCAACTATGACGTCGATCTCACTATGAACGCCTGGGCTGACCACAACCTCGTGGAGCTGAAAGGCGTTGTCCGCGAGATCTCTCCACAGGCGCAGGTGCCAGCGCCGTTTCGGTTGAACAAGCTGAACCTTGTCCAACCTGCGCGTATCGAGCTGTTTCAGCAGTTGATGTGGGCTTTCCCCGACGTGCCCGCGCAAGACCGCCTGGTGACAAAGCCACTGGAGGCCTCTCCGCCGTGCGTCGCTGGCGTGCATATCGACGACCACTTAGAATTGCTGAATATATATGTGCGTTGGGCCGCTCGATATGCATTCGGGGACCCCAAGAGGCAACCCCGACAGAAATGGCTGAGTGCCCAGGTCTGGGACCTGATCCAGCACGTTGCCCCCCTGCGTCGAGCTCGTCATTCTCTGTTGCTGCTGGAGCGTGCTTCGTTCCAGCGCTTCTGTCTCGCAGCTTGGCGCTCTATGGTGTCTCCTGGCTTTCGTGCACTGCGTCGTGTACCTGCGCGGAGCTGGTTCCACTACGGCAGTGCTGTGGACCATGATGTCGTCGTCTGCCAGTATCGTTGGCAAGGAGCGCTAGCTCACGCCACGATCTTTCGACTTCAGCACGCTGCGAAACCGATTCTGGAACGCGATCGTCAGGCGTTCTTAGATTCGATGGCGATGTCTGCCTCCAATTCTATGGCAGAGCACGACCCTCGCCAAGCATATGCTGTCATCCGGGCGCTCAGCGGCAGCCGACATCGCGCTACGCCCTGCGTGTTTCTTAAAGACGGGACGCCCACGTCGGACCCTCCTGCTGTTCGCCGGCGCTGGCTTGAGCACTTCCAGGACGTGCTCGGCGGCGTCCCAGTGGAAGAATCTGCTCTCCGAGAGGCCCCCCGACCAGCACGCGAATCTCCCTCCGTACTGCAAGTCGGACCAACGGCCACGGCGGCAGCGTTCAAGGCGCTAGGCAGGAACAAGGGCACCGGTTACGATTTAATCGCCGCCGAGCTCCTCCAGGCCGGCGGCGACGCGCTTGCCTGCAAGTTTGCGTCGGTCAACTCCCGCGTGCTGGCCAACGGCTCTTGGCCCAAGCAGTGGCGAGGCGGTCGGATGCAAGAGGTCTACAAGAAAAAGGGCGACCCTCGAGATACAGATAGTAGTCGAGGCATTTTGTTAGCAGACCATTCAGGCAAGGCCCTCGCCGGAATGCTGAAGGCACACCTTGACCCAACATATGTGTATCGCATGCCTAGCACACAGTTTGGAGCGGTGCCCAAACGTGGCACTGACGTGGCTACCTTGCTCATACGCTGTGCTTTAGAAGTGGCCCACCTACAGAACCTATCCGTTGTGGTGTTGTTCGTAGATTTAGTCAAAGCTTTTGATCGTGTTATACGTGAGGTAGTTTTTGGCTGGGGGCCCGATCCTCCGAAGTCTCGAGCTGATCGCGCCTCGCACTTGCGCGCCCTTGGCGTGGCGGAAGGCGCAGTCGAGTGGATCCTGGGATACCTTGACGCCCGCGGCCCTCTCTTCTCCCAGTGGCAAATTGACCCGGGAGTGGCCGACCTGTGCCAATCCTTGCACGCAGGCGCGTGGTTTGGAGTGACGGGGGCGGAGGGTCGGGCGTTGAGTCGGACGGGAGGGCGACAAGGGTGCAAGCTCGGCGCTCTCACTTTTAACGCTGTGTATGCGATCGCACTTGACCTTATGTCGTGGACCTTAGAGCAAGCTGGAGTCACTCTGCGGCTCCCAGTCCCGGAGACCCCATTTTGGGCCTCGCCGGCGGTTTCGAGGTATGAGCCTGCCCCTGCCTCAGTAGTAGATGCTGCTTTTGTTGGCGACGAGTGTTTTGTGCTCATGGCGGCGTCTGGGAAACTCTTGGACCAGGCCATTGATGTGCTCCTGCGTCAGCTTTTCGATGTTTTTGAAAACCTTCACCTTCAGATCAATTGTAAACCAGGCAAAACTGAAGCCCTATTAAAATATAGGGGCTATCAGGCTGTGCAGTTGCGTGAGGCTCGCCGTTGTGCCGACGGCAAGCTTCGTCTCCAAGTCCCTGGTCGTCCTGGGATTGCCATTGACGTTGTGCAGAGCTACGTGCATCTAGGCACCCACGCGAATGTCGACGGCTCGTGTTTTCAGAATGCGACCCACAGGTGTTCTAGCGCCATGGCCGCTTATGCTCCACTGTCTTCCAAGATCTTCGGGGCAGAGTGCGTGCCTAGGCCCCATAAGATATGCTTCATGACCACGCTTGTGCTGTCTCGCCTGCTGTTTTCTGTTTTTGTCACTGTTCCGAACCCCAAAGCGGTGAAACGACTCAACAGTGTATACATGAGAGTTCTGCGCAGGATCATTGGCGACTCTCGTTTTTCGGCGGATGTAAAGTGGAACGACCTTGAGGTCCGTCAGCGGTTAGGCCAACCGTCCATTGACTGCTTGATCGCACGTGGCCGTCTTTTGCTTTGGGGGAGGCTTGTCAGGAACCGTCCTCGGGTCCTCCTCTCCCTCCTCCACGCGCGGGTGAAAGACAAGCCCCTCCCATGGGTGCAGCGCCTCCTGGACGATGCTGCCCTTTTGCAGAAGCTCGTGCTCCCCGCGTCTGCCGCCAATGGCGCCGGGGCAGGTGGCCCATCTAGCTTCCCGTCCCCGACAGAAGACCCCGCGCAGTGGGATCGATTGTTGCAGGATGAGAAGTTGTGGAGCCATCTTGTCAGCCAGCTGTCGTTTGTTGAGTCTGTGTGTGACCCTGAGGCTCCCTCGACCACACCCTCCTCAGCCTTGGTCTGGAAATGCACAGCGTGTGAGCTGTCGTTTTCCTCCGACCGTGCACTCCGCAGCCATAGGCGAGCTAAGCACGGTGAGCGAGCAGTTATTCGCACATATCTGCCAGATGCCACGTGTCCGTGCTGCCAAACAGACTTCCGGCAGCGCCTTCGTCTCCTCGCACACGTCTCCGACGCGCGTCGCCCAAGGTGCCGTGATTGGATTCTGCAGAACTGCTCGCCCCTCCCAGCCTCCGAGGTTGCCCGCCTGGACGCTGCTGACCAGCAGCTCAGGCGCGCCGCCCAGAGAGCGGGAAAGAGCCACCATATAGCTGATGGTGCTGCTCGGGCTTCGACTGGGCGAATCGTCGGTCGAGTCGCGTCGTAACGCGTTTTCTTTTGTGACTGGCATAACTTGCGGCTCCCATCCTCGGCCAATCAATATATATATATAATATATATATATATATATATATATATATATATATATATATATTATATATAAAAGTATAATTATGCATAATATCATATACATTACATATTCTATACAGATATGTATAGATGTGTGTGTGTGTGTGTGTGGGTGGGGGGGTTGGGCTGCCGTGGCCGCGCTCGGCATGAGCCTTTGGCGCCGCGCGCGGCTGGTGCGGCGTGCGCACCTCCGCTGCCAGCTCGGCTTTTGTGCTCCCCTGCCTCCTCCGCCCCTCTTCTTGCCCCTCCGCCGCCAGCCGCTGCGTGCTTCGTTCTCGTATCCCGCAGTCGCTCGTGTTGATTGGCCTTTTTCCAGCACCGCCTGGTCCTTCCGCGCCTCGGGGCTGGTTTTTTTGCGCTTCTTGCCGCGTTGCCACGTAGAGGGTCAAATTCGGCACGTGCGTGCTCCGCCAGACCTGCGCATTGCAGATTGGATTCTTGGCCGCGTCGTAGGAACAATTGCGTGTGTGTTTCTCCTGCGTCCTCGGTCGTTTGCCGCTCTCGTTGCCTTCCTCATGCCGCTGGTGTGCAATTTTCTCCTCCCTGTCCACGCCCGGACGGCTTACGGCATTCTCCAACTCTCCTGCGGCCGTGTTGGGTCTCTCCCATTGCCTGGCGTGTACTTTCCCTGCCATCTATGCCCAGATGGCCGATGCCGGTAGGTTTGCATCCGAGGCGATGTTGGGGGCCTGGCCGCCGCGCGCGCTGTTCTGACTGCTGCGCTTTCTCCGCCTCGTCGCTACGCGCGAGGCCGCTACCGCCAAAAAGTGTGTGTGGGTGTGTGTGTGTGTGTGTGTTTGTGTGTGTTTGCGAACACTTCCCCGGGCCCCGCCCGCTCCGGCTGAGGCCCCGCCCTCCTGTGCCCTGTCTCCCTAATTAAAGCTGTGCGTAGCCCGCCTAGCTTTTAGCGGAAGAGGTTCGCTCTCGCCCCGCCGACCAAACAAGTGTGTTTGCGAACAAGCCCTCGCCAGGTAAACTTCGACCCCGCGCTGGTGCGGTTGCTGCGCGAGGTGCGCTTCTTCAAGCTCGTGGGGCTGAAGGCCCGCCCCCAGGGGGGGCCCGCGGCACGCGGCAGGCCGCCCCCCCCCTTCCCGCGAGACGTGGGACAGGCACGCGGTGGACTTTCTCGCGCCTGCTCCTCCTCGTTCCCCTCCTCGTTGTCCTCCTCCTCGTCCTCTTCCTCCTCGTCCTTCACCACTCTAACAGGTAACCATCATGGCCAGCAGCCTCCCCATCACCACCACCACCACCACCGTCATCATCTCATCACCACCACCATACACCATCGTCAGGATCATCGTCATTATCTCGACCATCATCGTCACCACCAGCCCCCCCCCTCTCTTCATCACTCCCTCCTCATCCTAATGTTACCCCTCCACCACCCCTTCCCCACCACCATGCCCTCCTGCCCCGCGGGGCAGACATGAGGGACAACGGCAGGCGGGGACCGGCTCGGGGGTGAAGTATTGACCTCCAGTCGCCCGTTCGTCGCCAAGCGGGGCGCGGGTGCTCCGACCTGCCCAGGAGCATGCGGGGGGCCTTACGCCGATCTATCGGCGATGTGCCGCCGATCCCAGTGTCGATGTCCCCCCCCTGTGAGCCACTCTCCCCCCGCTGTCGTTGCCCCTTCAAGACTTCCTGTTGACTTTCCCGCGCCTGCTCCTCCTCCGCGCCTCTGCCTCACAAGCCCCCCCCCCCCCTGCCGCACCACCAGGCCTGTCAGCAGGCTGGGCTGGGAGTTTGGCTCGAGACTTCCGTGGGATCTGCTAGTTCCTGGAGCTACACAACTCCAGCAGTTGTAAGGATGGAGGGCCAGTGGTTTCCCAAATCCGCCCTCGCCTTGGCGCCGCGCACGTTCGTGTCAAAAGCTCCGAGCAATTGCAATGATGGAGCTCAGTTCGTTTTTTTAATGCGACTCTCGTCACAGTTTCGCGCACGCTCGCTTCAAACATTTCCAACAGCTCCAAGGATTTGGAGGCCTGCACGTTGTCAAGATGCGGCTCTCGAACTGTCGCCACGCACATCCGCTTGACAAGTTATTCGCAGTTGCAATTGTGGAGTCCAGCTTGATGTCAACGTGCCGCTCTCACAAGAGTCTTTCTTTCCATGTCTGTCCCGAAGTTCCACAGTGCGAAACGGCCATATGGATCGAGGGCAGTGCATGTCTTAAGTTTGGCCACTGTTTGAACGTCCAGCAAGTTTTGGCGGCCAGGACTGTGACACTGCAACGCTTTTACAGACGGAGGGCTGATCGTCCTTCTCAAGACGGGGACATCGGTGGACACCTCCTTGAACTTTACCATCACATCTCCCTGCGTTTCTTTGAGGCAGAAGGGGAGGAGGGTGCATCTCACGCCTGAGTAGCAGGCCCACCGGGCGCTCGTCATTCAGTGGGATGCGCTTCCCGACGTGGAGAAGAGCTCGCAGGGCATACGGGGAGGGGACTCGGGACGGGAGGCTGTGTTGCAGCATCGTTCATGCATCCTGGGGTTGCTCTGGTCCTTCCTCCCTCCTCCTCCCTCCCTCCTCCCTCCTCGTCGTCCTCTTCTTCCTCCTCCTCCTCCTCCTCCTCCTCCTACTCCTCCTCCTGCTCCTCCTCCTCCTCCTCCTCCTCCTCCTCCTGCGGCACTGCGGGCAAAGCGGTTCTTGTCCGCCGCAGCCCGCGTCTCCTCCTCCTCCTCCTCCTCCTCCTCCTCCCCTTCAGCCTCCTCCTCCTCCTCCTCCTCCTCCTCCTCCTCCTCCTCCTCCTCCTCCTCCTCCTCCTCCCTCCTTGCCCCCCCCGTCGCCCCTCGGGGCGGAGGTCCCGCCGACCGCGCTGGACATGTTCACCAAGGCGGACACGTACAGGCGGTGGGCAGGCGCCGCGCGCCCCACGGGGGCGGGGGAGGCGGCCCGCGTCGGCGGCCGGGGAGGAGGAGGAGGAGGAGGAGGAGGAGGAGGAGGAGGAGGAGAGGAGGAGGAGGAGGAGGAGGGGAGGAGGAGGAGGAGGAGGAGGAGGAGGAGGAGGAGGAGGAGGAGGAGGAGGAGGAGGAGGAGGAGGAGGAGGAGGGGGGGGGAGGAGAGGAGGAGGAGAGGAGGGAGGAGGAGGAGGAGGAGGAGGGGAGGAGTAGGAGGAGGACCTGGAGAAGGAGGAGGAGGAGGAGGACCAGTGTAAACCCAAGAGTCATCAACGATGTTGGAATAGACCCACCCTCCGAGCTCCCTCTTCATAGGCCCCTACAACGGTTCATTTCCATTGAGGGAACCACCTCGTTGGACGACAACCGTTTGAAGACCCTGAAGCATGCCAAAACATCGTTCTCGGGATTCCAACGCCTCTGATCAACCTGACTATATCTTGTTGACGATCCTGAATCGTGCTAGAACGCCGTCCCTCGGACTTCAACACAGCGAATCAACGTAACTGTTGTGCTCGCGTAATCCTGAATCCTTCCAACAGAACATTTCTGGTACTTTGCTGATGGGAAT